AAAATCAATCGATCTTAAAAAGGAACAACAACAAAAAACCCTTTTATGGAAACCATGCATGGATTTATCTGAGCTTAGAAATTAGAATAAGATCAAAGGCTGATGAAGCTTTCACACACACACACACACATATGACTTTGTTTTGGGCTTACCAGAAGAAGGAAGAGAAGGGGAAGAAGCAAAGCCGGGAGCAGATATTTTCAACTCCAAGTGTGAAGAACAGATGGGTAAAACCGCCATGAAACTTGCAGATTTAAGAAGATAAGAAGGTAAAGTTTATAAAATAAATAAATAAATAAACAAGTATAAGGGAAACTAAAAGGAGACAACAAGAAGCGCAAGAATATGAAAGGAAACGAACGAGAAAAGAAGAAAGGGGGTGTGGTGGAATAGATATAAAAAGTCTTATAAATAGATATAAATAAATAAACAGAGGTATCAAAATAAGAATTAAAGTTGATGATGAGAGGGGAGAAGTGCTAAACTAGCTAGGGTTTTTGTCTGTGGTTATCAAAGTCAAAGTCCCTGACCCATCTGATGCTAGACACGTGTCCTGCCATATTAGACACTAAAACATCTGTGTGGTACACAATATAGGGTAGGTTTTCTGTTCATAAAGTGCAAGTCTCATGGTTTGGTTCAAAGGCCAGCTTAAAATGATTGGGGAAGCTTAGAATGGGTGCCTTCCTATACCCTACGCCTCACTCATTGCATTTTTATGGTATTTGAGTTATCTCGAACTTTTTTTATCGATGATCTAAGATCAAATACTAAAAACTTTGATGTTATTTAAGTAAACATGAGAATTGTTTCTGATTAGCGGATAATTAATGATGTATAAATTATATGGTAACGTTCGTATTCAAAGGATGCATTAATGGAGGAAGGGAAAGAAAGGTGAATGAATGTCTATGTCTCTGCAACCATTTCTGCTGATGCTTTTGGGATCTCACTCTTCTTTATTACTTCTACCTTTATAGACCCGTGCTTTTAATTGTACAGCAATTATCATCATCATCATTTATTTCTATGGAAAAGAAACTTTCTATTCATTTGGTAAGTTTGATTCATAAATGGTAAAAGAAAACGCAATTCATTGTTTTGTGGTATTGGTTCATAAATGCAAAAATAAATAACTGAATATAATTAAATATCTTATAATATAATTATTGATATTATTTGATTCATTGATAGAGGGATTTGTATGTGTTTAGGGCGTAAATGAAATCTGCATCATTAAATGAATTAGAATTTGGGACTTGGGAACTTGACCTTCCGATTTATATTATTATTAGTTTCAAGTATAAAAATATGTATACTAATTTCATTTTAAAGTAATATACTTTAAATGCTTTGGTGCACACATTGAATTTAGCAATCATATCTCAAATGAATTTGGCTTCTCTTTTCCTTGCATAATAATTAACACAGCAAAAATCCTATATACATATGAATTTCTTTTATGAGCATTCAATTAGGTTCAATCTAACCCTAAAAGCTAATACAATCTTAGGTCTATTTCTTTTATCACTACACCTACCAAAATAGTTATATATACATACATACATACATACATATATACACACACGAGAGTTAGGATCTTGTTACACACGTAAAATCAAAATAGAAAGTTGAGATTAACTCATTTTTTTATAATGAATATTTTTCTCATATCATATTGTTAATCTAGGCGTTCTATTTACACTCTTCCGACGATCCTAATTCAATATAAAACTAAAAGAGTTTTACACAGTGTAACTAAATCATATCCTATATATACGCTCCAATAATTGAACTGTATATATTTTGATTAGCATATTGTACCCAACACAATTGAATGCATGTATTAAGGACAATTCAAATTTCATTAAAACAATTTATTAAATATATATCTTCTAGGAATAATATTTAATTTCGGGTAAAATATATTAAAGGTAGTTAAATTATGTTTAAATAATTATTTTAGTTATTAAATTTTAAAATATATTTATAAATTATATAGTAATGTGAACAACTGATAAAGTTATGTGACCAGTACAATGCCGACAGTTTGGTCACTAAAAGTGAAAAAACAAAAAGTCAATCCCTTGATTCATGATGTTTTGGAGTTGTTCTCCCCCCTCAATCATCAACTAGTAAAACCAATTAGTGTGTCTATGTACATTCGATCGTGTCGTCGTATTTTTGAAAATTTTAGATTTTTATATAATTTAAATATTTTTTTATTTTATATTATTGATCTAATTTTATACTTTTTAAAGATTTATACTTCTAACATGAAGTTATGCGTCCACCCACGTGTATATATATGCGCACAATTCTCAGAATTTCAGTTATCTTTTGCTCCCTTTACAAGTTGATACATCAAATTAATTATTATAATAAATGGTTTAATTTAAGTAATTTTACATTCTCGAAGGTGCAAGCTTTTATAATAATATTTTCAAGTATAATATTTGATTTAAGATAATTTTATAAAAGGATACTATTTTACATTGGATATCCAACTAGCACTAGTGGTAGAATAGTACCCTGCCACGGTATAGACCCGAGTTCGTTTCCCGGCTGGTGCAATTTATATTCTTGAATTGCTTGTCTAGCTCAGTTGGTAGATCGCAAGGCTTTTAATTTTGTGGTCGTGGGATCGAGTCCCACTGAGGGTAATTCATAACGGAGTTATTTCACAGAAGCTCCCAACTTGGCGTTAGGGGTAACCTACTACCCTACCTCTCCTTACCCCATTACATATGGGAATAATGTCGGCTAATTTTATTTACATTGGATAATTTAATTTTTGATAAAGTACAACTGATGGCGTTGATTTATGCTTAAATGATCGTTTTATTTGTTGAGCTTTTAAAAGTATAGTTATAAACATATTATAAACATATAAATATTTTTGCTAGTGAAGGAGTCTGACTTTTAAGTAATTGTTAAACTGTTATTATACTAAAAAAATGACATGAAAGCAATATAATATTTCAGAGATAAGAATAAATAATTTAGGAAAAAATAAATAGTAAAATGATGAAATTTTTAAGTATGAGGAGTTAAATTTATTGATTTATTTTAGATTAAAATCAAATTGATGGATTGTATAAGTTTGAAAGATTAAAATTATTATTATATCAGGTTATGTCACTATTTTATCTAATATTTAATGATTAAATAATATGATTATAATAATAATTTAATTAAAGAATTTATTTATTTTTATAAGAGAAAATTGATATATTTAATAAAATCGTATTTGAATGATATTAATATAATTTATCTAATAAATAAACAATTAATTGTGTATTAACAATTGAATTATAACATTTTCGAATGAAATAAATTAGTTTTAAAAAATCGTTCTTATAATAGATTTTTATAAAATCGTTCTTATAATAGATTTTTATAAAATTAAATACAGAAGCATGCGTTTTGGGTGGTGGTGTGGGACCCACATTGATGATGATTTGGAAAAAGTGAACAACACTCAGAAACATGATAATTTAATCCCATTTTTTATGATTGGGCGGAAACCAGATGTAGGCCCCACTTGTCTTCTTGTATATTCAACCCTTCTTCTTCTATGTTTTGTAATCTCAACATGCGGCCCTCTACCCAACACTAATTCCTTTTTCTTTACCTAATTTACTCAAAAATATTAATTATCGAAAAATCTTTCATCCTAATTTATTTATTAATGAAATTTCTTTTTTATATTATGTATTCATAAAGATATAATTAATTGAGCGTACTTTTAGAGAGTACAATTTATCATATATATTTTTGTTTATGTCACATGTTTCATTTTTATTTATATAAAATTTAAATTCAAATTAAAAGTTTAAATTGATTAAAATAACTTCAGATTTAGAAGAAAAAAATTCAAGTAAAATCATATTTTTCTTGGCGGAGATTGTTTCGTTAACATGTTGCTAATGTTGAAAGCGAACTCTCATTTTCATACAATGGCAATTTAAGTACCCTCGTAACCACCTTCTCTATTGTACGAGTATCTATTGCAGATGCAACAACACCGTAATTCCTTTGTCGAATGCTATTCTTTTTATTTGTATGGAGTGATTATAAGATAGTATCTGTTCAAACACTTTTAATAACTTGATATTTAATGTCTATACTCCCTTACATATATATTTTACATGTATAGTGCTCGAACTCGATACCTGATTGAATAATAACAATTAATTAACTTCTACAGCTCAAGATAGGGTAAGATGGACATAAATATTGACGAAACATGCGAAACTGTAGAAGAGAGCCGACAACCTAAACATACAAGCACTGTAATCGAAAAAAGATAATAAAAAAACATCGTTTGAAGAAAGTGTCAGTTCGTAGATCAGAGCAGACCAAGTAAATGCAACTTAATGACACATCAAAGAACTGCATCACCAAGTAAATTTTGTTAATGAGATGTGTGATTAGTATATGATTAACATGAGTATAATATGTTACAAATGTATGGTGGAATCCAAGTTAAAAGAATTATCAAAATCTGAGATTAATGTCGACTAAAAAAATAACTAATTTAAATATGAAAGTGGATTAAAAAAATTTTATGGACCAAATTTTAAAAAATCAAAGATGGATATGTTAGGCCTCATTCTACGTGTATTGGCCATTCAGCAAAGGGATATGAAACAGTAACCTCTTCAGTGCATATGGCCTATAGAAATTGGGAGTTAGCTTCTCTTTAACCTTTTTACTAAGAAACACATGCACCAAATTACCTACAAACTGCAGCTCTGACAGCTGCTTCTCTGTATGTTCACATATGTCCTGTTATGCTTATTGCACTATTTTCATACTCATATTCGATCACGGAAACTCTACGCTATGGAACTGTCAAAAACGAAAAGGAAAATCCGAAAGGTCGAAACTCGAAAGAGAAAACAATAAAAGCATAAGATGATTCTGACGTCCAAAATGTCTAGAAAGGAGAAAACCCAAGACCGTCATATATGTTTCGCACAAACATGTTATTACAATGAAACAAACAATCTAAACTTCATAAAAAGTTCTAAACTGCCATGTCCATTTACGGGGGGAGAGAGAGAGAGAAGATGGATTCAAGCCTTACAAACAAGAAACACGGCATAGCGTTCACCATTTTGTCGATTTACACTTAGCGGCTTTGCTATTCTCACTTAGGTAAGGCCCGAAGGTCTTCATAACTTCTTCATACGTCGGCCTCTTATAGTCCACAGCCTGCAGCCAATTCATTGACACGATGATACTCATTAGCAAAAAGCGATAATAGTAGTCTTAAAATGCATCTACTGCACGAATGTATCAAACATTATGCAGCTACTGCATACGGCATAATACCTGCTCAACGACCTCTTCAGGGGTTGTCCACTTCCACTCTGTGAATTCCGGGTCGGCCTCGCCGGTTGCTAAATTGATCTCACTCTCATCTTTTGTTAATCTCATAAGAAACCTGTCAAGTGTCCCAATCTTTTGTCAGCTCATAAATCATAAGAAAACAACTCTCGTACTTTCTTCCTATGCTTTCATTCTTAATTTAACAAAAGAAGTATGAAGTCATCTTCATGCACCACTTGTACAGGGAAAGGTGGACAGAAAAGGCCAGATATACGAGACAGGATGGTACTCGAAACTCACTTTCATATTGCTAAAGAGAGCAATATCAGCTCGTCGGAGAAACAGTCAAACATAAAAGATACCATGTAAGTGTCCAAATGATTCAGTTTTTCCCTGACTAGAAAATGGAATAGCAGATTTCCTCCTTACACAGTATGATATGAAGGGTACATGAATTCACAGAACATAATGAGAAACATGCAGCGATAGGCATGCTAGAGGCGGCGACTGCAGCAAGATTTCGGAAGTCACTAGCTAAAACAATGAAATTACATTAAAAACTAAACTAAGCCAATACAAAACCAGTATGATATTCTTCTAGTAGATAAAAGGAATGGAAGAAATGAGGAACAAACCATTTCTGAGCCTGTCCATGCCATTCACCACCCCAGAGTCGATTCACTTTCGCCTTCACAGCAGGAGGAAAATCATATGTTAACCAATTAGGAACCTGCCAAACCACAATGCTAATTAGATATGCTGTAGCAATGGGGAAAGAAAGAAGTGGCGTAGAATGAATAAAAATTGCAGCATAAACAAGACTATATTTTCTATAGCAAAACCTCAGCAATAATTTCAGCAGATACAACACCGGTTTCTTCTCGCAATTCCCTGATAGCTGCAGATCTTGGCTCCTCACCATCTTCAATACCCCCCTAAGTAAAATCCCAGAATTATTTGAATTCTCATTAAGCACTGAGGATTGAGGCCTGCAATAAATGGATATTCAACAGTGTATTACCTGAGGCATCTGCCAGGCTCCTGGAACATTCAGTCTGGAAGCTACAAAAACCTGCAACCAGAAACAAAAAAAAATAAAAATATTTTCAGCTTTTTTCAATCCATATATTCCTCAAGAACTAACCTAAAAACCCCATTAAAAATACATTTTTTTCACACAAAAAAATGGAAATTTAAATCTGGCTTAATTGAAGCTCAGGCTCCAAAGTACTCCAAGAACTTCTCTTTTCTCAAATCTAAACATTTTACTCAATAAACAGTAAATACAAAAAAAGTCTATCAATTCTTTCAAACAAAAAAAAAATCCAAATTTGACTTAATTTAGCCAGCTCAATCGGCCCTGCTATCAAAATCTAAGATGGAAAAAAAAGAGAAAGGGTACCTGATTATCCGAGTTGACTAGACAAACACCAACGTTGGGGCGATAACCAGGGGGCAGTCCCTCCATTCTTAAATGCCCACAACTTTTTTTTCCTTTTCAGGGAAATAAAACAGGGAGTGAATGTTGTGTTAAAGTTTGAGGAAATGAAAGAGGGATCAAAAGAAGGAGATGATGAAGATGAAGAAAAACTGGGTTTTTTCTTTTGAGAAAATAAATGATTTTTATGAAGTATTTGGGGAGTGGGTTGGGGAGGTGTTCATGGGGATGAGTGTCGCTGACCTTGAGCAAAATTGGTGAAAATGGGGCGACTGTTTTATATTGCTGTCTCTTATCCTGCGCACCCACTGTTTCAAGATTGCCTTGTTTTTTTTACCAGTTTCTTTATAGATTCTCCTTGTTTTTTTATTCTGCCTCTCTTCAATTTTGCTCATCATCAACTCCACTAATAATGTTCTGCCACGTACACCCTAATACAAATTAAGGTAAGCTACACGGATGAAAATTAAATTATTAAACTTATATTATAATAATTTATTTTTATTATAATAATTATTGTTAGCTGTTGTTAATAAAAATTGGTGTGATACGTTAATCTTCTTCCTTTAAAATTCAACGACTTGCCCTACAAATTAACTCACTAAATAAATAAACTTTAAAAATTTAAGGTTGAGTCCGACTTTGTATATATATAGTATGTGTGTTCTCTAATAAATTTTGATTTAGGTCTAAATTTATATAATTATGATCTAATTACGATTTAATTTAAAGTGATATTTTGATTTTCAAAACTAAATATATCTTATAATGATTGATTTTAATTATGTATATCGATTAAAAAGTATTAGATTTATTTTCTCAAAATCATTGATACAAAAACAAGGTATAATTACAATTACGTGTAATACGTATCAAAACAAAATATGATCATAGTTAATAATTATAAAATATAATTGAACTAATAATCATAATATAGTTAAGAGTATCTATGCATAGTAAAATGAACTAGAATAAAATCTAAAAACGAATTGATCAAGTTATTTCAATGATAAAAAAATATTATTTTTCTTAGAACTTTTGAGTTCGAATAATTATATTTACAGGGTGTGCATGCATTATATTAATGAATTTAAAAATTATGAATGAATAATACCTTATAATCATCTCCTACTATTAAAAAATTTAAAGATAATGTTACGAATAATTTACATGCGATAAGAATCACACAATCATAACTTGAAGATAATTAATTCCATTGACTATGATTAAAAAATTACTTTAAAAACATTGCATACATTGATGCAATGAGATGCATTAATGTCATAGTGTCTTGCATTTAACAACATTAATTGGTGTCATAAAGTTACTCGTAAGAAAAGAACCAATAAATTCCTAACCATACATATCCTTAAAGGGCCAAGTTATCAACAATGACGAAGCATGATTAACAAGTCATTTCATCATTATTAGCTATCAATGGTGTTAAGACATTGAATCCAATTTATAATTAAAATAAGTTAAATAAATATTAATTAGAAAATATATGGCTGCAAATTCTTTAAGCCTTAATAATTATTATTAGATAACTCATTGATTGACTTCAAGAGGAGTAATCTCTGTTTTGAAAATCGGATTCAATCGGTCGGTTCAATTGGTTTAATTGATTCAACCGAGAACTATTGCTTAGTCTGGTTTAATCTAAACCGGTTGAACCGTTATTAATGAACCGATCAGAACTGTTGAACTGTTCGAACCGGACCAGTTGAAAACCGGAAAAAATCGGGATTTTTTTTTAAAAATTAAACCAAACAACGTCGTTTGTTAAACGAGCTAAGTCGAACTCGAGTATTGCTGAGCTCGACTCGAACTTGAAAACTTTAAAAGTAAGCTCAACTCAACTAAAACTCACAAGCTAAAAATTATCAAGTTCAACTTAAACTCGAAATATAATATTGAAACTTGAACTAAAAAAGGCTTGAACTCAAAAAAAATTTAGAAACTCGATTGAAGCCTAAAATCCGAGCTTGATTGAAGTGAAAGAATAGTTCACTCAATGCTCACCAAAAGGCTCCATGATTTTGAATGTCAAATTACCTCTATTATTTATATAAGTTAGTTGTGATGCACTTTTATGTTTCTTAGCAATGTGAGATTATTTTGTTCTCATATTTTTACTCTTTAGACTTTTGGGATGTTCTTCTATGTTTTTTAGCCATGTGGGATTGTTTTTTTTTAAAAAAAATTAAACCAAACAATATCATTTTGTTATGATTTTTTTAACCGAAAATTTATTTTTTAATTATAGTTATATAATTATATTTATTATTCAATATGTTTTACCTTAAATATTATGTTGTAGTTAATTTGAATCATTTTGTTTCACTTGATTTTATGGTTTTTAACTTATATATGTTATGACTTGCTTTGAATATGACTTGTGATATAAAAAATTATTTTTTATTAAATATTTTTGGTAATTTTATTTAATTTTTTAAATAATTATGACGTCGTCCGGTTCTTCCAACCGGTCAGACCGATTCAACTAGTTAAACCAGTAAACCGATAACATGACCGGTTCGCTAACCGGTCCGGTTCTGAAAACCATGAGAGTAATTATTATTTTTGAAAGCTTAGGTTTCAACAATTACATGTGGAAGATGTATGTTTTGTTAATTGTTAAAATAAATTTTGAACGGATAATATATTATAATTAATCAAAACTATCAAAAAAATTAATTGTGGAAAATAATGATATAACACAACAACTCATTTAATTAAGTTTGAACATTAAATTCTGATATTATAAATAAAAATATAAGATTAAAATAATGGTACAATGAATTTTTTTAATATTCATACTGAATTAATTAATTAATTGATAAATAAGATAATGATATTTATAAAAAATAAATCATTGAATTTCATTAAACGACAAAATTTAGAAAAGGTTGAAACACATAAAGTAGTGGGGGGAGAGATAGGCGTTGACTTTGGGTAAGAGAGAGAAAATCTGATTGTTAACAAAAGAATCTTTTCTTTTTTCCGTTGGACGTCGTTTATTTTCTCGTCATCTAGTCCACCAGATGTAAAAATGTCAAAATACTTTTTACACTTGTCATATCGAGCCTCACTTCCCCTACTCGTCGCAGTGTGAGCGTCTTTCACACGCTTCTATATTTTTTAATACCATATTGCCGAATATCTTTTATAAATGAATGTAGGTAAAAGGCCTTGCCTTTGATTCAAGTAGTGGACCTTAGCCTAATATAATACAAGGTTAAACAAAACTAAAACTTTTTCTCCCTATTTAATGGTATAAAACATTGGGTTGGTGTTCAAATTGATATTAATTGACTTGAATAGTTAATCGTTGGAGTAGGCAACCGTATGGAAGGTTAATTTTATAGTCTGGATCTGATTTTTTAGGATAATTCTGTTGCATTATTTATAATATTTTAGATATAATAACGGATTAAGAAATATTTTGGAGTGGACACATATATAGTAATAATATAAAATTTTTAAATGAGCTAGACACAAATAAAATTTCAAGGTGAACACTGTCAATAAAATAAACAACTAACATAAAAATTTGAATTTAAAGGTTAGCACATACCCATCATAAAATACATATACATGCACCATTACCTAGACGTGTCTCGATTGAGAGTTGTCTTGACATTAGTGTTGATTAATGTCCTAAGAAGTAATAACTTAAACTAGTTAGTCATCAAAAGATATCATATGTGTTAACACGTGATCGTTGGTGATCATGCATGGATGATATTCAAGATAATAACAAATATTTAACAAGTGATCACTACTAATAATTTGCAGATATATGAATCTTATATTCTTATACCCGAATGTTCTTACGAGGCCTGTGAAGGTTCTCAAAAGAAACATGAATATATTTTTAAATATATAGTTTCAGCCAGTTCGATTATGTTTTAGATGTCTCTGTTTAGCATGTGTGAAAGTCAAATCAAAAACAATGATTTTGGGATTTTAATTTCATGTAGTTTTTATGTTTCTTAGTTGGCATCGAAAACATACTAGTTGTAAAGTTCGAATCAATCATGACTGCTTTGGCCTTTCACAACAATTATGACTTCAATTTTAAAAACTATATGCCATGCGTAAATTATTAGGATAATTAACATCACGCTAATGAGCATGAACAATGATAATAATCTACGTTATGTTAGCCGCAAGCAATTTCAGAAGTTTGGAACAACACTAAGATTGCAATTTTAGTAGGCCTGAGGGTATGATTCCCTTCCCCTTCATAAAATACACAGCGATAGCAAGTAGTATCATTGATATGATGATAACCCATCTCATTCCACCAAACAATTACAGCTTTTTATGTAGGAACTGAATTTCTCTACAATTTAGAATTACAAAATTGGCCAAGCCAACACTTCATATTCAAAACAGACAGGCAACTCAGTTCGCCCATGTCTGGGTTGATTAGCTTCAAGCATCCATCGCAAACCCAAGAACAGACACAAGTGCATTTACCTCTGTACCAAATGCTTTGATGGTTGGGTTAGAACATTCCCCAAGGCAACAGTTAAGGCTTTACCTTGATTATGTCAAAACTCTAATTAATATTTCATTTAATTCATATGAACCGTGTTATGATGGGTCTCAAATAATGTCTGAAAACGGGAGATTAACGACCATAAAGTTTAATGGTTGTCACATGTCCTTTTGAGTTAACAAAACCAAGAAAATCAGGAAAAGGCACCTACCACTTTTTCTTTTGTCTTTGACTAGTGTCACCCTAGCACTCGAATCCAGTGATGCAGAAACCAAAGCCCTGTATTCAATTTGCACCCCTCAGTATCATGCTTATTCTTATAAGGAGTGCTGCAGAGAAGAATATATAGAACACATAATTGTGTACAACCTTGAATCAGGGGAAAATGTCAATACTGTAACCAAACCAAGGTGAGCTTTTTTACCATCATTTGAACCCTCATATTGGCAGAATTTATGATAAAAAGGTCTCCATCAACTGTTCCACTGCATGCAAACCAGAAAAAGAGAAATTACTAATTTTCTGAAAGCAAAGGCTTGTGGAGTTTAGACTGTGATAGATGTATTTATTCATGATAGGGATCTAGCAGTCTGAAGTTGAAACCCCATCTAACAGGCCGTGAGGCCTTAAAAAATCTACAACAAAATAGAAAAAGTTGAAAGGGGGAAACAGGCAAGATAATCACTTAATTCAGTAAGCACCAGAAACCTCAAACTTGTACTCAACTTTTTGGGTATGTAACAAATTGAAGATGACAAAGTAACTGTTCTTACACTGCAAGGAACTTCCCATCAGATGAGACATTGAATGCAGAGATAGGTTCCCAGACAACTTGTCTTGTGCGTATTTTCTTCCATGTGGTTGTGTTATATGTTATAATACTTCCACCATGGTCTGTTAAGATGAAGTTATGAAGGTAAATTCTAAAACTAATAGAGCTCCTTTTACAACACAGAAAAGTGCAGAGTCCGATGCTATATTTTACCTGTGACTGCAGCAATGTAAAGATGTGTATTCTTATCATTAATTGGAGAAAATCTGCAGAAGGCAAAAACCTCATCTTGTAGTTCACGTAAACAAAATAAACCAGTTCAAACCCAACACATAGAAAATGATCAACTTGAATCATCAGAAAAGATTGACAGTTCCCTAAATATTTCATGACCACCAGAAATCTGACAAAAACTATGGCTAGCTTACTAAATTATTAGATGGTTGCACATTTAGCTAGGGCTTCATTTCACAACATCAACGACAGAGATAATCACATAAAGCTAATAATCTAGACAAGTCATAACTCTCCTCATTCATATATAGCTTGAAAAGCTAGCACTAATAGCAACTATATTTGTAAACCTTGATTCACTCACTCATATTTCCCTTTACCAGAGAAGTAATAACTTTTGATGATATTACATCCCAAATCCTACAAAGAACACTTCCCAATGAGACGAGAAATTTCCCATCACAGCTGCAATACAGATAAAATGTCAGAAAATAAATAATTACCAAGCAGATGAATTTTCCTCTGCTTACATGCTCCCTTCCTTTAAAACTGAAGCAGGGGAAACACAGGAACAAACCTAAACTCCAAGTCCTTAACAGATTGGGCTTCATTGAGAGTTTTTTCCATGCTAGGCCATTCGAAAATCCTTAAACTCCCATCCTGTACTGCACCAAAACCAGAGCATAATATGTATATTCCATCATTTTTTTCTTTTAAAAAAAAAGAAAGCTGCAAATTGCAATTCATTACACATTATGCAGAAAATGGTGAAATTTAGAAAATGAACATAACAAACACAAATGGGAAGACTTCCAATAAAAAAGGACTGAAATGAAAGATACTATAACTTGCTATAATCTGCCTTTCAAAAGGGTAGCCAAGTCTGAAGAATGAAACTACACACAGAACACAGGTCCACTATGGCACCAAAAGAAAGACAAGAGTGGGATCTACAGTACTAGAGAGGGCACAATATAAAGGTAATAAAAATGCCATATGTTTGGTGCAGTTAACATCTTAATTTTTTTCTTTTCTTTTTTCCATCATCATATGTTGTGTGGTTAGGGAGAAAACAACTGCAAATCAATAGAACTAAAGCTGAAAACAAGATAGAAGTTGGAACTCTAAACAAGGGTCATAAAACCTCTACATGAAACTATTAATTAAAAAAATGATGGCCATAAAACTATTTTAAAGCTTATTAGTAATAGAGAACGATTTAATCCTAGGCCTAGAGTAAAGCTCTAGCAATAACTCATAATCCTAGCCATCCATCCATGTGTCTAATAACTACATAAAACTAAAATAATAAAATAGCATCATAGTAATAGCCACTGCATCAATATGACTTCAGAATCCAAGTCTAACCATGAAAATTACCTTGCTGCTTATAGCCTAGTGTGATTCATCATATTACAATACATTAGCATATGCCTTTTAAGTTTATAGGAAAACCTGTGGCTCATCTTCTGCATCATTTCAGATTATTTGAGCAATTGAGGACCACAGTTTCCCCCCTTTGGTTAGTGACAGAAACTGCAACAAAGTTAATCCGACAAATGGAAAAAAAATAAAAGGTACGCTCTACCTCACCACCAACAGCGAGTATGGAACCCTCACTGTTAAATGTCAGGGATAACCGTTGCCCAACATCTTCTAACTGTATCAGAACTTTCTCCGATACTTTGACACCCAATTTGTGGACTTCATTGTCCTCAGATTCTTTCCACTCAAACAACCTGAAGATAAAAAATAGAGCATAATATCAACAAAGATGTATGTTAGAAGTGAGTCAATAAAAAGGGAACACCAAAAATAGCCAGAACCAAGGTTTTGCAGCAAAAATCACACAAGAACTTCCTATCTGGTCCTAGGTGTTGCATGTAGGTTACATCTTTGACAACCGTATTTTGAACTTAAGAGCATCAAAATTTCTTTGACTATACGCTAGCATAACTTCAGGTACACCTTTCTAATATGGTCCCGCTTCTATGCCATTACTCGTCCTGTTCTGTTTCTAGAGCATGCAATAAAGCCAGAGTAATATTGTTAACTCCAAGACAGTCATATTATATTGGCAGTCTGCTTCCACCTCTTAATATATAGGTGATTCCATACCCTCGTATTTGTGTCATAATTTTTAATAAACATATCTAAACGGGGAGAGGTTTCTCTCAAGAACTATGTACTGATTAACCAACAACTACAGTCAGAGATACTCTTTTACCAGAAAATGCTTGTGTATATATATATCAATCACTCAGTTCACTATAGCTCGACACTTTAAAATCCTCCAAGGGTTCTCAAGATCACATTCCCCCTATCCAATTAAGTGACCGGAGCTAAACTATGTCATATATGCCTTGAAATTTGAAAAGCACATAATAAGAAAGAAGAAAAAAATGAGTCAACAACGAAAAGAATAAAAGGGTAAAAAAACCCTGCAATTCTGTTGAAATGCACAGATAATTATATCTCCATGAGGATGAACGGTCATTCGATAAGGCAAATCAGAACCGGTTTCATGCTTAACCCCCTTACCGAAAACAAATAAATAAAAGCAGTAGCTTACAATCAGAATTTGGCAACATTTCCTTAATTCAGAACTGCTGAACTAAAATATCTATAGTTCATACTTTGATAATCGCAAACAAAAGATCGAAATAGTTCAAACAATTTGTAAATTAAAATAATCGAAATCTACTTACAGGTTGATTAGAGAGAGAATTAGAGGCGATATCAACGTGGGAGACGACGATCGCGTTTGGGATACCGCTGCGGCCTTCACCGCCACCGCCGGCTAAAACAACGTAGTTTAGAGGTGTAGTAGTCCCGTCATCGTTGGATGGAATTGGATCTTTTTCATCTTTCTTATCCTCTTCTTCATTCTTTTCTTTGGAGGCGACCTTGGATCTGATATGATTATAAGGAGCCCAGCCGACTCCGTAGAACGGAACGCCATATTTTTGGAGATCGGAGGGGGCGTCTGTCATGATTCTCCAATTTGTGTGTCAGCAAAGCAGGATTTTAGGTTTTCATTTGCTACGGCTGCGTATACAGCCATTTTATTTTATTTGGGTAAAGTACAATGGTCATTAAACTATACTCAAACCAAAATTTTGGCTACCAAACTTTCATAATATACAATATGGTCATTATATATTTTAAACAGTTAATAATGATTTTTAAATTTACGAAATTATAATAAAATAATTATTAATTTTATCATTTTTATAATTTATTACAACATCATAATGCTTATTTTAAAAGAAAAAAATGATCAGGATAATTTTCAGTAATCTCGTTTAATATTTTAATTTTTTTAACTCTTATAAAATTATATATAGATATAATTGTTTGATAAATAGGATTATTATTTAAATTACTTTTTTTTGTAATTGTACAAAGTAAAATGTTTAGTAATGGCTTTGATTTTTCTTAATATCATCAAACACATGTGATAATTTTCATCATAAAACACCGCAGATGATAGCTTTGTCGAGTTACATTTTTGGTTTTTCAGACGTCAGTGGATGGTTGCACTTTGATTGTTGCTGAAAGCGTAGCCACAGCTTCCCCTACCGTCAAGTACAAGCAATCCGGTCTCATGAATTCCCCACTTTCATCTGATTTCTTCAGTTTTTCCATCACTTCTCCCAGAGGATTCACCAACACAAGCTGTACACAACAAAGTCTAAGCATTTTGAACATAAGAACACATACGCATACAATGCAACAAAGCGCCAGGAACTCACCTCGGCGCCTTTCTTTTCGACCATCTTCTTCAGTTCTTTAAAGAATGATACGCCGCTCGTGTCAATGCCGCTCACCGCTGAGAAACGAAAGCAAACAATGCACGGAGTTTGAGTTACCGGGATCAGTGTTCATAATTCATGGTTGGAGCTTGAAACCAGCTTACCTGACATCTCTAAAAGCACGAATCGAAGGCTCGATTGCGTCTTATGATCTTCTCCTTTGTATTCGTCTATCCATCTCAATACTCTTTCGTTCAGATATGTCGAATTAGCGAAGTTGATCGGAGCTTCGATGCTTAGGATAAGGAAACCGGGGATCTTCATCGATTCTTTATAATGGTCAAGATCGCGGAAAATATTTGTCCCGGGAATGTTCCCTAACATCACTGTCTTTGGCCTAGTAATTTGCAGGAGGATCTTGAAAATAGATATCCCAACCTGGTCATTCATATTAATCCCATGGCTTTAAATTGTGGGATTGCATGTTATATAATAAGGTGGAAGAACCTAGGAACAGGACTTACCGCAATGGCTAGACCATCTTGGACCGAGATGAAGATAACACCAAAGAAAGCACACAACATCACGACAAAATCGAATTTGTCGATCTTCCAAATTTGACAGGCAGCCGGAATGTCGATAAGGCCGACCACGGCCGACACGATGATAGCTCCCAACACCACATTTGGGGTGTACTGGAATAGAGGCATCAGGAAGAGGAGGGTCACCATAACCGTGACAGACATTATTACGTTGGACACTGCGGTCTTCGCCCCCGCGTTGTGATTAACCGCGGACCGAGAAAAGGCACCGGTCGTGACGTAGCAGGAAGTGGTGGAGCCGATCATGTTCATCAGCCCAATCGCCATCATTTCCTTGTTGCCATCCACTTTGTAATCCTTGAGAGCAGCAAAAGTCCTTCCTACTGCAACGCCTTCCTGTTTCAAAGTTCTCCATTGTTAATCTATGTTCATTAATATTAACTGACTGTAAAAAAGAACTTACAGTGAGGGAGATGATGCCAGTAACAAGGCCAGTTTTTATAGAAAGTCCAAGGTGACTTCCATGAAATTGCAACATATTCCATGAAGGAGGATTCAATCCTTGTTGTAATTTTCCAATCTATAATAGGCAAATCAAATAGCTGTAAATCCAAAACAGCAAAAATGGAAACCTGGGGGGACCATGGAAACTTACCACACTGATGCCATGGCGCTGTGCTTTGAATGCAAAAACCAGAAGGGTGGAGAGGATGACTGAAACCAGAGGTGCGCCAGCTGATACCCAAAACAGCTTTGGTTTTTTAATGCTCTGCATGGCACACAAACCCAAGTCAAATACACCCAATTCCACTTAAGGCTTGAAGACAAATAGATGAGTAAATAAGAACGTACAAAATATCTTGCCAGTAACAAGAACACCAGGAAGAAGAAGCCCATCAGTATTGTTTGCCAAGACCACTGCAGAAAGAAAAGCACAACGCCATAAATTTAAGTGTCATTTACATGAAAACGTTAGTGCAAAGTGAGCGGGTGTAACATTACTTTCGTGAACCTTTCGATAATTTATGTTTGTTTATGAAATAAATTTTTTATATTCATTTAATAAATAAACCAACACAAACAGAGGTATATTTGATTCATTTATGTTTATGAATAAATTTGTTTATCGACTCGTTTATAAACTTATTTACCTGATTCTCATTTATCTTTTATTTTTTTACGTTTTAAATATTGGTGAAGATAGAGATTATATTGATGAACTTTTGAGTTTAAATTGTGAAGCCTAAAGAGTTTAAAGACTAATAGTGTAATTTCATTATTTTAGTGAATATATTTGCTAAACGAATATGTTAATGAAAGTTAAAGGAACATATTCAAGAACGTTAAATGCACATATTCGTGAATGCTAAACGATAAAAATATAAACACTTTAAAAAATAAATAAACGAACACAAATATGAAATCAAAAATTTAAACACAAATCAAATATGAATAATTTCAAAAATAAATAAATAAACACGAACATATTAATTAAAAATATTAAAAACACCATTTACCTCCTTTGTGTTGTGGAAAACAGAGCTGAGAACTGGTACCAAACCCATTTTTTTAGTGAAATGAGTGATTCCAAGAAGGGCTTTCAGTTGTTGCAGAGAAACTATAATAGCAGCCCCAGCCATGAAACCGATAAGCGTCGCCTTGGAGAGGAAATCAACAATTAATCCCAGCCTGGTAGATTAAGACCAGAACTCATCAGAAAAGGTTAAATGAAAGAAAACTGAAGATGAGGAAGAAGGGTTTACCGTTTACCTTAAAAATCCCAAAGAAGCTTGGAAAAAACCAGCAAAGAAAGTTGAAGTAAAAGCTAGTTGAAGGAACAAGACAGGATCATTGACAGGGGATACTTCTTGTCTAAGCATGGAACCAAGTATAAGTGAAGCAATGGAAACAGGCCCTACTGCAAGGTCCCTGGAGCTTCCAAGTACAGCATATACAAGAGGAGGCACAAAGCTAGAATCTAGAGAAAAACACAGAATTCAAAAAAAAAAGCTTTTTTCATTGAAAAAGACACAGGGTTACTTTGTTTACTCACAGAGACCAACAATTGGTGGGAGATTAGCAAGCTTGGCATAACTGATGCCCTGTGGGATGGCTAAGCTAGCAATGGTGAGACCAGAGACAACATCTGATTTAAAGAGGTTGAGACTGTAAGTAGGACCCCATTGGAGAATAGGGAAGATGTACTGAGCCGAGAGGATCCATTTCTTGTTGGCGGGTTGGCCTTTGAATTGGCGCAAAGGGTCTTCGGGGAAGAAAGTTTCTTTGAGGGTGGTTTTGAGCTTGCGAATGGCTATTTCATGGGGTGGTGGGACAACTCTGTGAACCTCCATGGCTATTTCCAGGCAGCATTGAGGATGATCATCTGTGTTGCTTGAATTGGAGTACTCCATGGTTTTAGTGGAATCAAACACCATAAAAAGCTTGTGTTTTGTGTTTACCAATGCTTGCAATTTATGCATGTGTCCAGAAGACCGCTAACAAACAAACTAATAAAAAAAAGTATAACGACAAAATTAGTCCCTAATATTTGTATAAATAATCATTTTACATCATTTTTTTTTCTGGAACATGTATCACGTCCTCAAGTGATGACATGACACATAATATATAATTTTGGATAACGTAGCACATATTACATCATTAATTAAACACATATAATAATATAACGTCAGTAATGCATATTTATCGTTAGTCAACCAATAATTTTCATCTAGTAAAAATTAGTTTGACTAAAAATTAAAACGTTAAAAACTAAAATACAACCCGAAAGAAATAAAAACAAAACAATTATTTATACATACTAATTTTATCAATAAAGGACAATAATTAAACACGTTTGAAGTTGAAATCATTGTAGTTACGGAATGAATAAATTCACGAGTGAAGTGTGAGAATAGATGTGTCAACACTTTACTCACGTCAAGTAAATTAAGCAAACAGTGTTCTGATTCCAAAACTAACATTTCTCAGGATCAGCTGTGGGATCTTTGTTAAAGAAAAGCATAAGATCTGTATTAGGAGAGATTTTGGTTCGATTTAAACTTATAAAGTTAAGTTATGAATTACCAAATATCTCGTCCTCGTTGAATAAGTTTTGAGACTCAAACGGTCTTTGTTTGACCTTGATATGAACCTAACCTCTCAAACTAATTTTTGGAAATTTCGTTTTGATAGATGTTTACGCCTCGTCGCAATTATACTTTGGTGGGCTAATGTTTTTCATTAGAGACGAAGAAAATGTCACACTTGACTTTGATCACTACACAAGAACCATTGTTTGATAGAATCATGTCTAACGTTATAAGTGTTACCATTTTAGATGTTTGGACCGTAACTGTCATTAACAAATTTCGTTAAGTGACATATGTCACGTTTTAATAATTTTTAAAAAAATTATTTAAAAAACTTTAAAATTTTATTATATTTATTAAAAAAAACCCTAATTTATCTAAAATTACAACAAAAAAACTCAAATCCCTAAATTAATCCCAAATCCCTAACCATGACCTTTATTTTTCCTTTGCCACTGACGACCGATGCCGTTGTCACCATTTCCATCTCCCTTCTTGTCCATCGTTTTCTTTGTCGTCGATCGCACCGTTGGGCCCCGTGGAATCACACAAAGGTCACATTTTTTCTTTGTTGTCGTCAGGTTTAAATCACGATTTGAGGTTCGTCGGTGGTTGTTCATCAAGTGGTTGGTCGTCGGGTTGAGGCGCGGTCGGAGTTAGGTCCAATCGATGGCAACGACGACAATAAAGGGTAGCGGTCGGCGTGAAAATAGGGATTAAAATTATGGCTTTTAAAGTTTTGAGGGTTTTTTTTAAAAGATTTGAGAAAATTTTGAGTTTTTTCTTTAAAACAAATATTATATATTTTTTTTTATTTTAAGTAAAAATTATCAAAATTACCATAATCATTTACAGAATTTTTTAACAGCGGTTATGCCTCGGACACCTAAAATGGTAACGTTGGGAACGTTAGACACTTATTTTTAACGAAAAATCTTTAGACACCCAAGTTAACTTTGAGTATAGTTTGAGCAGTTATTTTTACATTAAGCATTATCTACTCAATTAACAAACTCTCTTTGCTATTTGTTTTAGTCTTCTTTATTAAAATGCTGAAATGATTAATTCGATTAATAATCAAATTAAATTATTTGAAATTAATTTAATATTTTTTCAAAATTTTAACAATTAATTAAATTAGTAAAATTATTAATCGAATAAAATAAATTTTGACTATTTTGATCGATTTTTAATAGTTTGAAAGGATTACAAAATAATATGTGTTTATAATCTTTTTTAGCCATTGATAATGCATACAACCTACAGATACAACTGTTTGAACCTAAGATCTTAAGAGAGAACAACACTTCATTTGATAACTGAAGTCACTCAATAGGTTTTGTTTTGATAATTTTGAAATTAATTAAAATGTGTTATAAATTATGATGTTTGATTATATATTTTTCCATTTCGGATGGGATATTTTCTTTGCTACTTATGTTTTTTTTTAGTTTAACACACTAATAAACTTTAATTTTTTTTTTTGGTACAAAGAGTAGAAACTGCAACCGCAGTTGAATTTACAATCTTATCCTTTCTTCCCCATTGGCATCTGCCAAAATCAAGGGACGAATTTCAGCAGGGGGTTCATACAAAATCTCTAGAGTTGTTTCTTGTTCAAGGGCCATTTGTGCCAGTTTATCAACACACGTATTCCCTGTCGCCAGGATTTCCTTTCGAAGTTCTTCGCAATCCCTCAAGATCGTATACCCAGGATTTCCTTCAATCAGTCCATCGTTTAGTTCGTCAACGATCCCTTTAGCATCTACTTCAACAATCAAATTTCTAGCGTTTAGTTCTTTTGCCGGTAAGAGACCTTCTCTGACCCCCCCCCCAAGCCTCTGCAGTGGCGCTGTTTGCTCTTCCAATTTTGCTCATGAATCCCTTTACCCACTCGCCATTCTCGTCTCTGATCAGACCTCCTGCTGCTGCAAATCCCGACCTTGTCTTACACGCTCCATCTGTATTTAGGATCCAACATCCTTCTCGGAGGTTTCATCCATCTCACCCTGTGGGGTTCCCTCATGATTTCTATGTAATATTTAATTATCCTCAGACTGAATAAATTTTGTGTGGCCGACCACTTGATCAAATTAATTCATTTTGATTGGTTAATTTAATTTTACCCAAACCATAAACATCCAAAGACGACTCTCAACCTAGCAGAATTAATAATTTTCAACCCTCAAAACCAAGCTCCTTATACCAGCAAGTTCATTAATTAATTACGTTTTAAATGAATCATTATTGATACATTAAATGAAACAGAAACATTGACAGCGGCCAAATTAGATAGAATCGTTCTAAATTTGATCATATTACCCGTTCAACGACGAATAAATAGCACAAATCATATTGTATGGGTTGCGAGTATGACTAATAAATTAAATAGTTCTAAATTTTATATATTTCAATAATTTATGATGTTTTGGAAGATTAAATGTTTAATTTGATTTTGATTCGAATTAGATTAAATTTTGATCAATTAAATCGGGTTGAGGGTGTTACACGCGTAACTTCCGACTAGAAGTGAAGTCAGAAATTTAAATTACGGTATTAGAATCTAAAAAATCAATATTATTATTATTTTGAGTGATGACGATAATTTACAAAAATGATGTTAACTTTTTATATATAAAATTAAAAAAAAAATTGGATGACAACATACAACTTTTTTTATGTGATTACATTAGTGAGTCCGATTATATTTAGAGTTGAATTAGATGAAATCCTTAAGTAGATATACAAAGTTCTCTTACTGTTTTCTTTTTACCTACAAAACTCCTGTAGCTTTATTTATAAAATAAAAAGTTCTTTATTGTTCAATCCAAAGGAGGAAGATAATAAGGGTGTATGAAGTTTTAGTCAATTAATGGTGATTGATTCCCTAAGGGGACCTAAAAGGGCCATTAAAAAAATGTTGTGTTAGGTTTGATGGTTAAAAGAAGGTAAACCGCATTACAATGTCACATTCGATAATTTCATTTGCACATTTTGGTCCAATTATTATCATATAGTTAGGCAAGTTACTAGTTTTATAAAGTAATGTTAAAAAAATACGGTCCTAAAAGTAACTCAATTCCAAACTTTGCCCACTTGTGTTTTGGACCGTAGATCCAAATCAAGCAGACAGTATCACGATCCTGTATGTGCGTTCCCCCCCCCCCCAGTAAATCCAGAAAATCTAACAAGATAATCTTAAACATATGAAACTTCATTACTGACAATTGGTTAATTATCGTCCGATAATTGATTACGAATAAGAAGGAATAAATCATCATCATCCGACATAGTCATCTTTATTTCATTAACTTAAATAAATGAATCTAAGTGATTAAATAGTTTGTTCCATGCACTTGATAGTAGATGGGCTAAGTCGAGTTGTGACATCGGGTGAAAAAAGGTGCACTAATGCTCCATACATTATTGTTATTGACATATTCCAGCATTGAAGGTTGACGAAGAGCTAGAAAATGATGAACGCAGAACCAGACCACCTTAAAGGTGGATTCTTGGTATCTCGGAATGGACCCACGTTCCATAACTCATCGTCAACATAGTGCAAGAGATCTTGAATGGAAGAAGAAAAGGAAACCCTAAAAAAAACAACACTCAAAAGAATCTTTTAAGGACCTGGTGAAAAGGCCATGCAAATACTGCCTTACAAGTCGCCTTCCCGAAAGACATGAACAAAAAGAGAACTTCTACTTGAAAACTACCCGTGCCAAACTCGAGCATAATTTTTCAAGTTAATAACTTGTGTATTCGAATGTATAATGATATTTGAATTTGATTCGATCGATAAATTAAGTTATTCAAACTCGATTATCATCTAATTAAATTTAAAATAATTTTAATCCACAGTCCTAATAACGCCTCATTTACACCTCTACTTGCTCAAAATGTTTTGCTATCATGCTATGATTACGTGATTATTATATCATCTCTGAATCATCCTCCAAGCACCTGCTTTTGGCCTTATCCAAAACTAAAAAGATATACAAATACCTATGGTTTACAATTGGTAAAGCTTTTCTAGGAAGCTTGTAATTTTAATTGTAAATGCACAACATCGATATTAGTGTTACACTCCTTTTGATTTTATTCAACTAACAACTATTTTTATAATCAAAGTCTTTAAAATAAATAAATAAAATATTTTTTTAAGGCTTCATATCTTTGTCCGTAAAACCACCGTACTTTCAATTAATCATTTTCTCTCGATGTGATTTTTGATATGATTAGTGATAAATTCACGTGATTTGTCAGAATTAAATTTATTGTCAAACAATCATATTCATATTCAATTTGTGAGCCTAGTAACCATCATTACCCTAGACTTAACACTGACACAAGAGATAATATAAAATCTTTCAACCAAGACCGAGGGAATGAGACTTTCTTCTTCGTCTCAAGCTCTCCCACATACTTTTCAAATCTTTCTGACTAGTCAATATTAATCGTTTGTAATAACACCGTCATAAGCTCTCTATCCAAATTAAAATAGATAAATAAACCACCTATAATTGTGATAATCCAAATATTACTAACAACAATTATAAATCCGTATGTACCCACTAAGGGAAGCAAAAGTGCCATTAGTGTTAACCATCACCCATTAATGAGACTTTTGCTGATTGCGTCATGCATATAATATAAACTAGTTGAAGAGATACATAAACTACTTAGGTTATTGATATGATCATAAAGGAGTTTTGATGTTAAACGTACATATCATTCATGCAGCTTCTTGGTTTAATCGCTCCTCTGCAACCGAGTGGTTGCTTGTTCTGGATGAATTTAACATTCAAAGTATAGTGTATGGTCCCTAAAAGAGAATATTGTAAAGCAAAAGAGAGTAACGTGGACAAAAGGTAGGCGCCAACCCCATTTTATTTGTTTTCTTCTCCAGAAAGAAGACTCAGGGGGTTGAACATGCGTAGTTGTTTTCTTTTTATTGGAAACATTTTGAACCACAGACAGGGCCGTAGCCCCCATATCCGCAAATTGGATGGTAAAGGGCAAAGCCGGTTCAACTCGGCCGGTGTTGGAATATCCACACGTACGTCTATATATGTATGCATATATGTGGTCAGGTCGAATAATTTTATATTAGTGGGATTAATTTTTAAAATTTTAAAGAATACACAAACTTCTAAAATATAAGAGGATATAGATTATTAATAAAAAATATAAAGTATATAATCTTAAATTTTTAACTTTCTCCCCCCATTCTCCTCTTGGTCGATCACTGTATATGGCCCAAACGTCAAGTCGTCAACTACCATTCTTGAGCAAAAGCAACTAGAGAGAGAGAGAGAGAGAGAGAGCTGGGCTAAATGTAACGCAGCCATTCTGTGACATAAAATAGAACGCCTGGTGGGCGTTCCCATGATACATGATCCTGAAATTTCACTTTACGTATTTATCAAAGAAATCTGCGTTGATAATGTCAACCTGGAAGTCTCAAGGTGAATCTTTCTGTGCCTGTCTATTTCATTTGTAGGTTCATGTCCATGAGTATTAGTAGACTGGCATTTGCCAATGGCCAAATGTGGAGCTCCTTAGATGGACCTGATAATGGATTTCGATTTTGGACTTTTGTTTGTTAAATCAGATATGAAATTGAAAGGAAAAAAAACTAATCTTTTTCTTAAACCCTAAAAAATAAAGGGTAAAGTGAACAAATGGTTACCTTATTATAGAATATTATTTTGTTGAGCCTCTCAACTATTAAAAATTATAAAATAATCCCCTTATTATAATATAAGGTGTTATTTTGTTGAATTTTCCGACTATTAAAAATTATAAAATAGTCATTCAACTATTAATATATTTCAAACTCATCTTTTTTAATAAAAAAAATTAGCAACAACATGAGCTGGATGTTAACTTGTTAACTGGTATATGATAAAATCTGACCCAGAGCTACTTGAGTTTTATTTTGTGGATCGATTCTCCGTTTACATTATATCTTCGAACCGGTGCTTAAAATATAATGTTGACAATCCAATGCTTGAAAGCAACAACGGTGCCAATATACATCATTAAAATATGATTGTATCATATATCAATTAGTAGGTTGACATCTAACTTAAGCGACCGTCAATTTTTAATGGAGTATGACAAGTTTGAAAGTAGTAAGATGATTATTTTGTAACTTTTAATGATTGATGTATTTAATAAAATAATATTTTATAATTAGAAAAATATTTTATAATTAAAAAAATATTTTATAACTTTTAATAGTCGGTGAGATTAACAAAACAGAAAAATATAGTCAATATACCATTTCTATACTTTACCCAAAAATAAAACCCTAAAGCTTAACAGAGTTCTTGTCGAGAAAATCCTCCCCCCTTCCAAAACCACTGCCGGCATTCTCCTGCCGGAGAAATCCACCAAGGTAGTTTCTTCCCATTCAATTATTTTCTCCTTTTTGTCCCGTCTCTTTAAATGTCATTTATTGATTATGTTTGATCCAAGGGCAGCTGAACTCGGGGAAAGTGGTGGCCGTGGGTCCGGGAACAAGAGATAAGGAAGGGAAAACGATCCCAGTTCCTTTTAAAGAAGGCGACACTGTTCTTTTGCCTGAATTTGGTGGTTCCCAAGTCAAGCTCGGCGATAAAGAGTATGTTCATTAAGCTCTCTTTATCTGATTTTATCATTATAATTTTGTTTGGGTTTGATAAGTTAAATCACTTTTGGGGTTTTATCTGCAGGTTTCATCTGTATAGAGATGAAGATATTTTGGGCAATCTCCATGATTGATCGATTGTTATGGGGCTTTAGCTTTGTTTTTATGTTTGTGTTGTTATGGGTTTTTGAGGATTAATCAAATTGGATGGAACTGATTAACCATCTTTATTTAGTTCAATCATAAATCAGTTCATCAATCAAAAGAACTTCCTTTGAATTTTAGTTTAGATAGTTTTTCACTTATATCACTAAATTTTCAATCACACCATTTAATTTTAATTTCAATTTCAATTACACCTTTTGGGTGTTAAAATTCAAATAGCATGATAACATATACAATATAATATTATTTTGATGCGATTATTGATATTTAAAATAACATTATTTCAGATATGTTCTAGGTATTAAATTTCAGTGTTATATTAAGCAGTTTATTATTTGATATTGTATTTTTTGGTTGTTGTTAATTGTAATTCATTTTTTGTCATTGATTATTTTCTGTAAGAATAATATTAAAATATTTAATATTTTTTCATATTACAAAACTTATTACAATTTGATAATATTAAAAAATATTAATAATATAATCGAAGCCAAAAATAAAATAAGTTAAAAATAAAATTTAACAATTTAACAATTTAAACAATAGACATATAATTAAATTAATTCTTAACGTTTACATAAAGGATCATTTATTTATTATTTTTTAAAGTATTTTTAGATTAAAATAATTCTTATTGACTAAGAATTAATGGATGTTATTGACGTGACTTTTTTACATTTATATAATTGATCATGTAGCATATGAAGTGTCACATATAACATCATTATATAAAATGATGTGTCACATACATACTTATTTTGAATGACGTAATATATGTCACATTATTATTTTAATAGCACATATCATGTTATCACTTTAGATGACATAACACATGTTATATAATTATCTTAATGGTGTGATATATGTCTTATCATTATCTTTGTGATATGATATATGCCACGTTATCAATTAAACACATGTGAAAACGTTAAATTAATCATATGTGTTGATCGTTAATCAATTAACGATTTTAATCTAACATAGACTATTTTAAATATAAATTAAAACATTATAAAATACTTAAAATAAAAGAATATGATACAAAATAATAATTTATATAAACATCGGGGATTAATTTTATTATTGTATTTAAACAATACAATATCTAAAATTTAATGCTATTTGATATAATTTGTCCATTCCTACATCTATTTCTAATTATACCTAAATAATATAATGTCTAAAATTTAATTATATATAATATAATTTATCTATACCTACACCTATTTCTAATTATATGTTTTAAGTAAATTTGAGTTAACATTTACTCTATATTTTAAGGATTTAATATGAATATTTGGTAGGATCATTTTAAAATTGAGATAAAAGTTTAGAGATGTATGGTGAATTAACCCAATCCATTTTTTTACATCGAATCCAACCGTTACGGAAGTTAAACGGAAAACACATACTTTTCCCTTCATCTTCTCCCCCAGTCCCTCCCTCCAAAAACACCACGTACACATTTTCTCTTTAACCTCTGTTTTATTCAATTACATGCAATCAAAGCATATATTTCCTCTCGTCGTCTCTCGATGACGTAGAAAATTAATAAAACGAACACATTCAAAGCTTTCATCTTCCTCTATGATGTAGCCACGAGGAAGGAAGAACAGAGGAACTGATTTTTGTTTATTTAGCCATTTTTTCGGGTGTTTGTTTTTTCTTCAAATGCACCCCAAAAATAGGGTACCTAATAGCGGCCAAAGCTCCCCATCACCTCCGGCATCACCAGTACAGTCACCGAAGTACCACCACGGTAGGAAGTCGGGTAGGTCCAGCCCGTTCCAACCGGTGCGGACCTTAGCCCATCGTCTCTCTTGGTCACTTCTCTATGTTCTTCTTCGTCGACAACGGATTTTCCTCGTTGTTCCTCTCGTTTATATCTCTGGGATGCTTCTTTACATGGGCACCGCTTCCGTTGATGTCGTTCCCGTTGTTAGACACAAGCCCTCAGCCGGCTCCGTTTACCGGAGTCCCCAGGTCTACGAGAAACTTAAAGTTTATATGAATGCTGATAATTCCTCTGCTGATGCCGTGAGTCTCTGGTTTCTGATTTGTTCTTTTTTTTTATATGGTTTCCCTTGATGGGTTGGTTTTGTTTGTTGAATTATTCTGGATTTTTAGCTTTTTGTATGATTTATTTTTCCTTATGGGTTTGATCTTGATAGAATTTTGAGGAACTTGGACAATGTTGTTAGTTACATTTTCCCGTTGGTTTTATGTTGTGTTGTTTTCAATCATTCTACAAAAAATATTGAAAATTTAGAAATGAATATTTTAACCAAATTCAGGAAAACAGTATTAACATAATGTATAATTAATGAATCAGTTTTAACATTTAGAAAAGAAATTTGTTTTCACTATTGTGCTCTCAGGCAGTAGACCCTTGTGTCTTGTTGCAACTGCTTCATTTCCGGGAGCAACAATCTTTTTAATCAAAACATTGGTCTAAAAAACATGGAAAGCTGCATTTTAAACTGATTTTGGAGTCATTTCTGATGCTAATCCATGGTTTGTGATTATATCTACCCTAAACTTATTGGCTTTCTTGTAGATTTCGACTGTTTGGAGAAATTCCTATAGAGGGGGGCTGTGGAGACCTTGTGTAAGCAAGTCTTCTGAAGGTATGAATTTATTCCTGTTATTTATCGTAAGCGATTCGCAATAAAATTTCTGTTGCTTCGTTGACATCAATTAAGCTCTTATGGTTTTCTTACAACTAATGCCTCTATTTATGAAGATGACTTTGTTTCTGTTAAAGTTGTGTGAATAGCATATTCTATACCTACACCTGTGTCATTGTTGGTTTTGCTGTTGAGTCTAAGTAACATAGTTTGAGATTGTTATTTCAAGGAAAAGCATATTCCTAGTATGTGTGAGTACCTCATGAGCTTCATTAACATGTTAGTGTAAATGTTCCATTCCTGGTGCTTTGCACATTTGAAGTATTTCTTATGTGCTTTATGCATATGTGCTCATGCATGCTTTATGTTCAAATGTACAAATCTGCTTTTGGTTGTTGGCTATCTTCATTAGTTTAAGATTCGGCTGTTCCTACTATAGATTTACCAGAATCAAATGGTTACATATACGTCGAGGCAAATGGAGGCTTAAATCAGCAGAGGACATCGGTTGGTTCTATTCCTCACTAGTCTCTAATACGTATTCATGCTTTACCTCCATTTTATAAAGCTTGTGTATCTATGATGTTAATTTAGATTTTTCTCTACATGGTTGCTTTGGATGCTATGTAGATATGCAATGCAGTTGCTGTGGCAGGTTATCTTAATGCGACACTTCTAATCCCTAATTTCCATTTTCATAGCATATGGAGAGATCCCAGGTTTGCTGTCATTTATTTGAGTTGGCATGTTGGTTTTATACCTTCAAGGAAAAAAGATAGGCTCTTTAAGCTTTGCTTATTGTCAAATTAGAGGGACAAAAATTTTTCAGGAAAGAGCTAAAATGGAAAGAGAAATGAAATAAAATATTTTATAGTTTTAACAAGTTCTTAGATGCTGAAGAATTGTTAAAATATTATTCCCCAAATTTTTTATTGAACCAAACTTGGTTTTGAATTTCCATTTTCTCAGTTCATTTACCTCATTTTTTTATACATCATTTCTTTCTTCTTGCATTACTTATAAACCTTCTTTTTTTTTTGGTAGAACCACCGGTATCCAGCTCATTGGCTGACTAATCGTTTTGTTATCGCATTGACTGAATCGCATATGTGGTTTTTACTTTTTCCAGCAAATTCAAGGACATCTATGATGAAGAGTATTTCATCAATACATTAAAGAATGATGTACGAGTTGTTGATAAGATTCCTACCTACATAATGGAACGATTTGACAACAATTTGACCAATGTTTTCAACTTCAGAATTAAAGCATGGTCATCCATTCGGTATTATAGGGAAGTAGTCCTACCAAAGCTGCTTGAAGAAAAGTGAGTCTTGAGCATTTCTTGTAGCATACCTATTTTGTTTGCTTAAGGTTTAGCTTGCTTAATTGATTGCCAAATGGTGGTTATAGACATTATTGTAGTAGCAACATTGTATGATCAAAAATATACATATTTTTTCTATATGCATGTAGTTTATATAGGCAGCACATTTTCTTCACTGCTATTCTCTTCTATTTTCTTAATTTAGGCTATTTGTTTTCTGATTGAATGACACAGGGTAATAAGGATTTCTCCTTTTGCAAACCGCTTGTCATTTGATTCGCCTCCTGCTGTCCAAAGACTCAGATGCTTGGCGAATTATGAAGCTTTACGGTTTTCAAGTCACATACTAAATCTTGGAGAAACTTTGGTTGCGAGAATGAAAGAGCGCAGTGCAAACAGTGGTGGCAAATATCTTTCCGTCCATCTTCGCTTTGAGGAGGTTGGCGTTGTTTTAATAGAAAATGTGTTATGAAGATTGATGACCTTTCTTAACATAAGAAAGGACTACTGTTATGACTTTTAGTAGCAGAAATTTATCAACTCCACTTTTGTAAGTAGAATATACTCTTTTCTTATGCAGGATATGGTTGCTTTCTCTTGTTGTGTATTTGATGGTGGGGAGCTAGAAAAAGAAGACATGATAAAAGCCAGGGAAAGAGGCTGGAAAGGAAAATTTACAAAACCTGGTCGAGTTATACGCCCTGGAGCAATTAGGATTAATGGGAAATGCCCACTTACTCCTCTAGAGGTATTGTCAGTTGACATTTGTTGTTTAAATAAAGTTGCTTTCAATTGAAAATTTAATTGGAGTAATCTCTACCTGTTACAATTTTATGCTTGACCTTGATCAGAAGTGAACATGACATGGATGAGCACTGCAACCGTGTGATGACCGACGTTCTTGTGTTAATTTAAATGTCCCCTAGATTGTTCATATGAATCAGTGATAGTTCATTTAATATTTTTGTTGAACATATTAGGTTGGATTGATGCTTAGAGGGATGGGATTTGATAACAATACATATATCTTTTTGGCTTCTGGGAAGATATACAATTCCGAGAAAACGATGGCTCCATTATTGGAAATGTTCCCTAACTTGCAAACAAAGGAGATGCTGGCATCGGAGGAAGAACTTGCTCCATATAAGGTCAGAAGCATCGGAGGAAGAACTTGCTCCTTCAATAATGGCTTTCATATTGGACTTAATTTGTTGTCATCTATTTGACTTGGATTATTGTTTTCAGAGATTTTCTTCCAGGATGGCTGCCATAGACTATACTGTTTGCCTTCATAGCGAGGTTTGTGACGACTCAAGGTGGGAATTTTCCCCATTTCCTGATGGGCCACAGGAGGTACTTGTATGGAGGACATTCAAAGACAATTCGACCAGACAAGCGAAGGTTGGCACTGCTATTTGACAACCCAAATATCGGGTATGCATTTACCTTTTCTACTTTTAACTGTTTTATAGACCGGATTGATTTCGGTGGCTAGATGAACATGAAGAAATACATGTTGAAGCAGTCATGGCACACACTTTACATTTGATAATTTGGAAAATATCCGTAAGGCGATCGAGGGAAGACTGCTATGCTTTACTATGGAACATGTATCATCATGCAGGTGGAGAGCTTTCAAGCGACAAATGCTGAACATGCGGTCTCATAGTGACACAAAGGGAGTTGAACTTAAAAGGCCCAACGATTCAATATATACCTTCCCGTGCCCGGATTGCATGTGTCGTATAACCAGAACGGTAAAAGCAAGATCATCATCGGCTGCGTAATCTTCTCTCGGAGGATTTCGAAGGGTGAACGTGTCTTGTTCCTGTAAACATAGTTACATAGCTAGCACATCTTGCCTCTGACCCCCCCTTTTTTTGTCCTTCTTTCAATCCTCATCGTGTGGGAAGAGTGCATACAACTCAAATTTGGGAGCTCAGAGGACTTTTTTTACAGAGGTCAAATTGTATACAATGATCAGAGAACAAAAGGCGACGATTTTGCTATCGGAGGGACGACCGGAGAGTGTTGCTGCAGCTAAAAAACTGTTGGTTTATGATTCTTTTGGAGGTTGGTTGCTGTTTGATTTGGAAGAAATTTTGGGGTAGATCTTGTGAGAAATCAGGGTTTTGTTATCGGTTTTTCTTATTCAATTCTGTGAAGGGTCTCTATTATTAGTCCTTATTTCAAGAATTGGTTTATTATTAATGGTTAATCATATAAGAACTCCTAAAATTAAATTAATTTTGAGTAGGTCATTTCATTACGTAAAAATACTTTTTTGATCGACGATCTTTCAAATATTATCAAATTATTAATCTTCTTGTTAAAAAAATTATTGATCAAGAAAATAAATTAATGCTAAATTATAAAGCTAGTACCTAAATTATCAGTTTTGATCCATTTTAGTACATAAAATTTTAACTTTTTTCAAAATCATGCCTAACGTTTAGTTTTTGTTTCGTTTTAGTACCTCGTCGTTAAAAACTTAACTGGTGAATTGCACATGTCATCTTTTTTATGGATAAATTGTATCATTCATCACTCAACTATCTTTTCACTCCAATTTTAGTCACTAAAGTTTAAATTTTCTAATTTAATTCTTTTATGGGTATAACTCAACAGTATTCAGTTGAGAGAACTTACTCTAATATCTACTGATGAGACCCTTTGCTGGTAACCTTAGAATTTCGGTTCCCTGAGTTGTTGAAATGTTCTGATTTCAGTAACCTGAACTTAATAGTTTAACTTTAGAGTGAAATAGTATATTGGCTCGTGTAGGTTGATTCTTCTTTTATATATTTACATACTAATTCAAATGTCCTGTCAATAAAATTTAGTGATATGAAGTCTTCTGTAAATTTTAGGAATTTTTATGGCAGTGAGGTTCTATTTGGTGGCTGTGTTGTTTTATTCTGTGCTGTCTTCTCCCATCGAGTATCTTCCAAAAAAAAAAAGGCAAGATGATGGCAGTGGTTAATTGAAGAATCTTGTTATCGTTTCATTTAAAAGATGTGAAAATTTTCTTCTGATATCATGGCAGATCTATTTTGATGCCTTTACTTCTTTATCCAAATGGAAATGTAACCTTCTGTATCTCCTAAAAACAGAAAAAATACACTACTTATCCTGTTAATAGATGAAGATTTGAATGCCGTATTGTTTCTCATGGAAGTTCAAATAATGTATTTTGTTGAATACTGAACTTCGAGTTGTTGTAATGATATGTGACCCTTTTTGACAGCAACCAAGTATAGGAGGTGAAGTAACTCCTCATCAGCACGACTCATTTCTTTATACTGAACCTCAAACTTGCACTGGTCTGTGGCTTGCTCAGGAAGATGCACTGGTTGTAAACGGCTGCCTTTGGGGCATTCCTGAATCTCACAAAAGTATTATTATTATTATTGTACTTTTCCTCATCTGCGACCTTTTGAAGTATATAGATGACGCCTTATTTTGATAATTGGTAAGTAATTAGATCATTTATGCGTATCTTCTCCATATCCATATTCAGAGATGGTTCATCTTTCAATGCCCCGAGGTAAGTTGTAATGTGTAGTGGTCCTTCAGTTATCTGAAAGAGATATAGATGTGGTTTATGTGATGATTGATCATTTTTTTACTCGAACTTTTTTCACATTTTCAGGATCCGAAGAAAAGTCGAGCCAGAGTCCTTTACACTTCTTGATCAGACTCGGATTTCTTCCTTGGTAATTCACTGGCAGCCTCAGCTTGGCAAGCTTGGCCGGATGTGAATGAAGATTGAGGAAGCAGGGAAGAAAAGGAATGGAGCTTCCATATATCTATGAAAAAATATATTCTCTTGTGGATGTTACTTGGATACGAGTGTCGGATATCTGTATGTATCCGGCATGTACGTGTTCATTTCTTTTGTCTTTTGAGGATCTTTGAAGGACGCCATACATGACAATTTCATGACATAAAGTTATGATCCAATGCATACTCCAGTATATTCAAGTTTATCAACGACTTGAATTCGAGACTTCATTTAAGTGACATTGAATTTATGAATTTTAGAAGTCAATGGTATACTAATAGTTGCACAGAGAGTATGGACTTGAAAGAAAAAGAAAAGGCTATGGATTCGGATCTGAGCATTCATCTTTATTGAAAGATGGGTCTACTAGTACCACTACCAGCCTACCTCTGCAAACAGATTTTGAAGGAATCCCACAACCATCATCCCCCAACTGTTCCACTCAGCTGAATTTTCCCATCTTTTTCTTCAGAGATTGTTTGTCCTGGTTGACTGGAACAAAAAGAGACACAAGGACAATCCCCTTAGCTTCCTCATTTTTGGCCATTTCCGTTTAATGCTGGCTCAACCAGACCTTCATTGGATTTTCTCGGCAATACGCGCTTTCTTTGTATATTTTTCTTTGCTTTTTGCTCTGCTTGTTTCATACCCCTGCAGACATTCAGCTGCACAAGTTTCAGTGACAAACCTTCAATTGGCATCTTTCTTTTATCTCTCCGGACCTTTTTCCCAGGCTACCTCCCTAATTATCATGTTGCAAGTTAAAGCTTATTTTGTTAGGGATTGTATGAATATGGCTGGGTATTTCAAGGGATGAGAGGACAAAACTTCTAGCAGGTGTGTCATCAACTTCAACTCTGCCTTCTGTTTTTCACCTTTTATTGGTAAAAGAACAGTAATCACCAAATTTTACAGGTCTGATTGATACATAATGCATAAGACCAATGTATTTGGTTTATTGAGCCAATCTCAACAACTCAATCGAGTTGGATCGAACTTCTTATTACTTGATCGAACAATGTGTAGCATTTAATTCCCCCAGGAATATATGGGAATTGAACATAGATGAGAAAAACAAAAATTATTACCGACATATACCTGAAATCCCCCCAGATATATGCCGTTCAAGTTTTAGGACGCATTACCATCAACTCTTTTCACATCTTTCTCCTGTTCTCTCTCTTTCATTCTTGTAATTGTTCAGTGAGTTTTTGTATATGAAAAAATGGACAACACTGTTTACAAAGAAGAAACCCTGCACAGTTTAAAGGGAAAAAATGGAATGGAGGCTCTTCCTTGGGTTTAGCCAACATGGTCCAATATGTGTGTTTAAGGCAAACCCTCCCCGAAATTAACTACACGTCCTTGTCATCACAGTTGCACCATGCGTGACAGACACAGAATGAAACAGTCTCCCTAGTTTGTCACAAAAAACAAACTAACAACGGCTTAACTGCTAAGTTTTAACCATCTTTTTTAACTCAACTGGAAAAACTAGTATTTAATTGCTGCGATCTGTTGCCCACATGCTAAAGCTTAGCCAATAGCTACTACCCAGTACCCACCCCGTGTTCTTGTTCAGTTCTTCAGAGGTAGAAACTCGAAATACTGTGTTTTTTGCTGTTGTTGTAGTTAAAGCTGTGATGGGTACTTCTTGGTGGGTGTCTTTGTTGCCGATAATAATGCCGGTTCCAAGGGGAAACAGCTCGAGGGTCTGTTCTTTTCTGTTTTCTTCTTCGAGAGTGTAATTTTTTCTTGGTGGGGTTTCAATGGACATAAATATCCAGTGTCCGATGAAGCTGTTGCCGAACAAGACAGCTCCAAGTGTAGTTCCTTGTCGTGAATTTGCATCCACTCGTTTTTTCCACTTTTTGCACTTCCATGCGTTGATTTGAAACCCTAAAAGAATGTTCAAAGAGAAGATAAAATTAAAGTGGAATTGCAAAAAGTGGAGGATTGAGTGAATGCAAATTCATAAAACAACAGCAAAGTAAAAGAAAGCAGCTTTTAAACCTCTTCTTTTCCCGAACATTGATATGTATATATTGGACATTGATCTGTAAATATCACTTTCAGCATGAAACAAAGACAAAACATGGATAGACACAAACCTCTGAAGTTTACATATGGTTGAAGGAGAAGCCTTGTTGTTTGTCGGTTCATTTTCGTAGCAGCTCAATGAAAATACTGGGGAAAAAACAAAAGAAATCTCATTACTTTCTCTTTGAAAACATATATGTTTAAATTCTCTGTCTGTGTGTGCATATAGGTTTACCTGCTGATTCCTTCTTCTCCAAGCTATCGGCATCATCAGGAGTCTTATTGAGTTGACGGCGGCGTTTTTGACGTTCTCTTGCTTTATGGTTTTGGAACCAGTAGAAAACATTCTTCCCTTCGATCTTCCCGAACCGCTGAAGCCGCGCCGCGATTTGTTGATTTGCGCCGCCGTCGGCGTCCGTGTCCCGCGTCGATAGAGTTCCTCGAGTGTCAGTAGCTGCTCCGGCGTTGGATTCCAACGTGAACTCCCTGATGGCTGTTGACTCGCCTCATTTGCATTACTTGCTATACCAATAACAAGAAATCATGCATATACATATGCATATACCAGAGTTAAGTTACAAGATCATATCAGTTTAAAAAATAAAAAGAAGAAAGAGTGGGGTTTACCGAAATCACCATGATTGAAAGCTAACAGGTTGGTGGAGTTAATAGTAGGGTTTGGAATCAAAGGTGAAGGCTTTGCATTGTTGAACGAAAGAGATAAGTTGAGGTCTGTGATATGGTGATATCCCATTTTTGAAGAAGCAACAAAGCACAGACAAATAATATATATCATTTCGTCTCTCCCCAGTGCTCGTACTCGCATCGTAGAAGAATGTGGAAAGAGAAGGAAAAGAAAGAAAATTAAAAATTGTTTTCTACTTTTAGAAAGTACACCTTGTATTCAAATTTTTTAATTTTGGGTTAGCTCAAGTTTTCTGTAATTTATATAAATTATAAGTTCAGTTTATATTTCTAATTCGAGTTTATATAATCAATAAATAATGATAAATTTGGAACACGTTTTATTATGGTCGGAGTAGGAAGGTAATGATCTTTAACCATTTACTCATTTAAATTGAGTGAAGAGTTGTAGTGAGAGGATGATAATGTGTACAAGGTTAAAAGATTATTTTCTTTCAGTTTTATTTATACGGGTATAAATGTCCATTATATCATACAATAGGTTGATCAGTCTCGATCTTTGAAAGTTATTGATGGATTGGTAGGTTAGAGTAATAAAACTCATGCATTTACTCTTACTCTCCCTCTGAGTTCTTTTTTTTCTTCTAGTTTTCTAGCTTTTTAATCTTGTCGGCTTGTTTCTATTTGTGTTGAGCCTTTGTGGCTTGTGTTGCCAAACGTGAGGGTTGAGATAACCTTGTTCCTTTCCGAGTTCTTTTGAAGTTCCAAAGTGATTCAAGTCGTGGTGACTTAGAAGTTCTTACATTGTTCGTGCTTCGGAGATCCGCTTCAACTTAGGTGGCTTGGATTAGTCCCAGTGGTATTTTGCTTCCGCGTTGTTGTCTAACCCTAGCGGGTTTTGTTCGTTGTTTAGTGAGCTAGAGACTCACAAGGACGTGGTTAAGGCTGACTTAGGTGTTATTTCAATCTGAAAATCGTCTAAGTGCTCAGGTAGTAAATTTAATTAGTAATGAGATTATCATTGAACATGTCAAGGGAAATGAAAGAACAAAGTTATCTCGAGTGAAGGAGGTACAAATATTTTAATTTAAAACTTTGGGAATTAATGGGCTTTTGCCAAATGTTGGGGTCAAACATCTACAATCATCACCAATCAGACCCAAAAGATCTATTACCCAATGCTTGGAATAATGATTTTGTTGAATTGAATCTCCACTTTATTTTAAGCTCGAGCTCAAGCATGCAGCAGTTCATACCGATGAATATGATCCGATGGAAAACAAAGAGATTTTGTTCTTAGTTCTCAGGATAAATGATAGCAATGAATTAATCATATATATATATACTACTCAAGAAGCTTGTTGCAGGTGGCAACACCGACAGCTGCCGCAAGATGCCAAGCAGCATGAATAAAAGGAGTTCTGTGGAACACATCATCTGCAATGAAAAGAACACCTCCCAACAATGATGACATCTTATGAACATTGTGACCATCCTTAATTCTGGCTCTTTCAATACTCTGTTTGCAAATGCTACCTGAAATTGCGTCAACACAACAACCAGATCAAACTTAAAGTTGTAATGGAAAATACAATATAATTCCAAGGAAACTAGTTACCTCCATCATTCCGGTGTGAACAGCTGAAAACCATCAGAGGCTGCACAGGTAGAAAGTAGCCGAAGCCGCCATTAGTAACTTCGGGTTCTCGTTCTGAGAGATCTTGATAGACACTGCAAAAAAAGGGGTTTGAATCTATAATCGAATCCAAGTGTGCAACCTGGAAAAAGATATGAATCAGTTCGAACATACCACGGTTGCTGTGGCAATCGTCGTGTAGTCGGCCCACCTTAAACTTCCTCAGCTTTCCTCTGGAAGAATGATACAAAGAAGAGGCACTCCAACTCCAATTAGTGAATTAGCATACAGCGTAGTGTTCAAATTTTCCTGCGTTCATGTAAACAAATTATATTAGCAACAGGATATATACCTTGTTCACGAAGCAAGTGAAAGAGAAAATCACCTGGGGCTTGATTCCAAGAGCTATAAAAGGAAGTGAGGTTAACACATTAGCACCGTCTCTTGAAGATTCCGGTCCCCTGATGAAAGCTTTCGAATATAAGCATAGGAAAAGAATCTCATAGGATAGATGGCAGAGCTGATACACACAAAACACGCACAAACAGACCAATACCTCGCATACAACAGTATCTTACAGGCTTTAAACAAGATGGCCTCTGCTGCCACACTCTGAAAAACATATAACACGATACATTATGGTGAGTGACAGACTATAACAACGTATTATCACGACCATCGACATATATATCGACAGATAAGGTAGAACGGATCATCTGATGCATAAGTTTTGCTGTAACTTACTGCATCAATAGTGGTTGATTTGCTGTAATAATTGATCTATCATGAGTTGATTGAAACTCCCCATGTTGGTTGATCTCCACAAATGCAAATGGTGAATGAGGACACTTGAACCCCGTGTACACCCTCCAAGGCTTTACTAGGCCTCGACGCCGTCCGGGGACACATAATCCTTGAACGAACGTGCAAAATGCTTTACGAGAGCAAGAAGCAGCTTATATGCTCAATCTCTGTACAGTCAACACAAGCAGCAGCACATGTAGAAATCACACATTCAACAAATTAAGGCATGGAAGCTTTGTACAAAACACTAACTTGAACCTTTGTTTAAGTTCAACAAGTTCACTTGAAACAGAATAAGGTTAAGCTCATCATCGTTCATTAATCCCAAAAACGAACCAAATAAGACTAACTCGAGACCAAAGTTTAAACCAAATTAAGTGAAGCAATGGGATTGCTAGTCTTCTAATACATTCAACATTAACAGTCCCATTAAAGCAGGACCCGAATCCTAAAACCAAAACACCAAAACAGGAACACTTGTCCTTAACTTCCAACAAATGGGTTCTGAAACACAATCAAAAGAGGCAACTCCAACTGAAAAAAAAAAAACTGGGAATTGAGTGAAGATTCTGGAGAACAAAAAAGGAACTCCCAAAAGAAATATAGTGCAAGCATTATTTAAGAGAGATACCTGTCAGGATTTGAGGCAGGTAATACAGTTTGGTTTTGGGTTATGTAAATATAAAAGAAATGGGCGGGGGTATAATTCGCCACCTGTATTTCGCCACCTGTATCTCGCCATCTGTATTTTGCCACCTGTATTTCGCCACCTGTATAATTCGCCACCTGTATTTCGCCATCTAACTCTACGCATATTCGCCTCTACTTGACTTCGCCTCATTTAGTACCAAAATGTTTGCCCTATATAATTCGCCACCTGTATTTCTCCCTCGTTCTATCGGAATTCAATTTAGTCACGTATTTAAAAAAAATTGGATAAGTAAGATTTTATTATCCAAGATAAGGTTCAACAAAACACACAAATATCCCAAGAGGGAGAAAGATACCCTATTTACAACCAAAAAAAGAAAAACTTAATCAAGACCCAATAGTCACAAAGATTAGAGTTTACATTATCAGATCTATTGATATCTTTATCACTAAGTTGAATACGAACAAGCTCTTTGACATTGGAGAATTTGGTCTGTTGTTCTTGAACCACTTTTGAAATCCTTTGTTTCTTTCCTCCCAAATCAGTAGTTAAAAGCATTCCAAGCAATTTTAGAATGATGGAAAAGTAAGAATTTCCCCTTCCATTTTTGAACGGCACCATCAATCCTTGAATCCCAAGTACTGTAATTATCATGTATGCTGGAAAGGATCATGATAGAGCTCCAGATCGAAGACGCATAAGAACAGTCAAAATAAGTGATTTATGGGATTCAGTTCTTCATTACATAGAATGCATAAACGATAGTATCCCCATTCTGAATAGTCTATCCGAGTAAGAAGCCGATCAAGGAGAATCATCCAAGAAATCATACTATGTTTAGGAATATGAGAGGAAACCAAAGAATTTTCTGCAAGGGAACCTTGTCCTATGTTCCCTTATTTCTTCCATATGTCTTTCGTTTTAGAGAGTCCAGAAGAAATAATAGGGAGGGCCTCTCTCTAAGCTTAAGAAGCTTTCTGATGCTCCAACTAAAGGATTAACATTGATTTCACTTAAATCTCTGTTTTTAATTATACAGTGAAGCCAAGCAACCCACAAAGATCTGTTACCTGCCAGGATTTTTCTAATGAGTTGAATCATGCAAGCCTATTCCAAGAGTTAGATTCTTCAAGTCGGACCTCCCTCAGTTTGGGGCAGCTTATATGTTCCAGCTGATTATGGCACCTTTGGCAGCTTTATTCGATCCTTTCCAAAGGAAACGAGAGCATAGTTGCTCAAATCGATTGATTACTTTCTAGGGAAGAATGAATTGCTGACACCAGAAATTAACAACACTAGAGGACAGTTTTAATAAGTTCAAGACTCAAATTTAAAGTATTTCGACTCATTAAATCTTATGAGATTATGATAGTCTTTTAAAAAATATCAGGTATTAGTTGGGGTTAGGTTTAAAAAAGCCTGAAAAATGTTAAATCT